AGCGGTAGAGTGTACCATCAGGCGTGGGGTTGGTGTGGTCAGCGCTGGCCATTGAGCTGAGCACTCACTTTGAGTACGCCACGGGTCAGGAGAGCACGGGACAGCCCACTCATTTCATATGGGCGGGGCATCCACACACTCTAACCAATGAGCTGACCAAACAATTTCATGTTCAAACAGATGAATGTGTGAAGCTGCAATGATTCACTCAACCCACCAACCTAAAATTAATGTATATTTATGTATAAATAATGTGTATGTGTGTGTATGTGTATGTGTATATGTCTCTTTTCTATCTTTTTTTTTTTTGTGTGTGTGTGTGTGTGTGTGTGTGTGTGTGTGTGTGTGTGTGTGTATATATATATATACACCTTGCTACGTGTACTGTGTTAGGCTAACCGAGATTTGTCATTTGCACTTATATATTGTTGCTCTTTTGTTAGTTTTGACTGCTTTTATTGTCCTCATTTGTAAGTCGCTTTGGATAAAAGCATCTGCTAAATGACTAAATAAATAAATAAATAAATGTATAATGTATATTCTGAACATACTGCTGAAATAAATGTATATATTGGGTCTTATGGCTCTGATTATGGATATGATATCTTTAAAAAACTAATATACTCACCCTGGTTTCTTCCATAATCCATATTACTTCTGTAGAGAATAAACTTGATGTTATCAGAATGTCCACTCTCTTCAAATAAGTATAATAAGTAATAAAAAGAAAATCAACACAGAAACACCACTAAACTATTAAGATTTTCAATCACACACACACAAGCTCCTATAGCGCAGGTGTGTTTTATTGTAGTGGATGGAGAAGGAAAAGCCTCATGAATTGTCAAACGGACATATTCCTCCTTGAATAGTGCTTAAAAATAATCCCGGGATGCATTTAGACAAAATAATAATAATTAAAGGAAGGAAGGAAGGAAGAAAGAAAAAAAAGCTGAAATGTAAGAGTTTTCATTTGCGTCACACGAGCGTTTGAATGTGTGTTATTTTATTGTTTTGATGGCTTTACTTTTATTATAAAACAGGGTTTCCAAAACTACACTGTAAAAAGATGCTTTCAACTTAAATTACATTAAACTGGCTTTAAAAAATGAGTCGAACCGTGTACAACCTATAAAATAAAGTTGAAAATGGCTTATTTTGAGTTAATGTAATGTTAAAACACATGTTATCATAACTTATTGGTCATATCATGTTTTACAGTTCTTGAGGAAACTGCAGGAGGTTTGTGAGTTAATGAAAAGCTTATAATTAATTAAATCATAAAAAATCTAAATCTAAATAAAACCCTTACTTTAAAAAGATTATTTGTTAACCTGCATGTCACGTGACCATTAATTGACAGAACGTGAATATGTAAATGTTTTGTCAAATTATTGAAATATTTACTTAAACTCTCAGGGGTCTTCAAGTAAATATTTTAGGTGATGGAAAAAAACGAGATTATTTTATATATTATGTTTTGGGAAAAACAAGCAAAAAACTATATTTCAATAAAGCTTATAATTAATTAAATCATAAAAAATCTAAATCTAAATAAAACCCTTACTTTAAAAAGATTATTTGTTAACCTGCATGTCACGTGACCGTTAATTGACAGAACGTGAATATGTAAATGTTTTGTCAAATTATTGAAATATTTACTTAAACTCTCAGGGGTCTTCAAGTAAATATTTTAGGTGATGGAAAAAAACGAGATTATTTTATATATTATATTTTGGGAAAAATGAGCAAAAATTATGTTTCAATGTGATGGGAAAAACGAGATTATTTTATATATTATGTTTTGGGAAAAACAAGCAAAAAAACTATATTTCAAAGTTTTTGCGTTCCCTCGAGAAATATTGCCTCCGCTTGCAATACTTTTGTGATGGAAATATGGGAAGAAAAAACTATATTTCAATGCTTTTGCGAGTGAAGTATCTGTGGAACGCAATAATTTTGCGAAAGAACGAAAACTCTGTAGTTTTTGTGAATTGTGAGTGAATGCAAAGTTTCTCGGTGGAACGCAATACATTTGCTAGACTCAGAGAACACAAGGTTTTGCGGGCGATGCTTTCTTGGGTAAATGTGAGAGAACGCAAACACATTGAAACCCAAATAATAGGCCTACATATACGTCTGCGAGATGTCTGTTAAAGATCTCTTCATCTGGAAAGCATCTGCTGTGTACAAACATCTGGTAGACGTCTTTAAGATGTCAGTTTTACATACACTCTAAATCATAAACATCTTAAAGACGTCTTCTAAATGTCTATTTGACATCTGATAGGAAACGTCCTATAGACGTATTGCAGACGAGCAAACACTCTAAAAACACGTCTTGCAGATGAAATGCAGACGTCAAATAGACGTGATGTACGTATGCTATCAGGGAATATATTTTTCTATTTTTTTCCCATTCCCATATTTCTTTACCTAGTGGCTTCGTTTAACCAATATTGGGACTTTGTGTTATAAAATATCCCTGATAGCACACGTACATCACGGAGACGTCTATTTGACGTCTATTGCTCATCTGCAATACGTCTATAGGACGTTTCCTATCAGATGTCAAATAGACATTTAGAAGACGTCTTTAAGATGTTTATGATTTAGAGTGTATGTAAAACTGACATCTTAAAGACGTCTACCAGATGTTTGTACACAGCAGATGCTTTCCAGATGAAGAGATCTTTAACAGACATCTTGCAGACGTGCATGTGCTATCTGGGATGGAAAGTTCAAAACGACTAGTTGAGCCAAAGTAGCCAAACATTTGGCCGTTACAGTAAAAATTTACATATGTTTATTAATTAATTATTAATTAATCTGGCAATGTACCAATTCCTGGCGTGCAAATAAAGCTTAAAGGTCACATGTTTTATTTTAGGTTTTGATGTCCTTAAGAATATATATTTGCGGTATAAGTTGAGGAAATGACAGCAGTTTTCATATTTTTAAGTTATTAGTCTTTCTGCAATCTTTCTCTCCCTGTAGGAAGTTGAATGAGTTTCAGCTACTGCCCATTAAAGGAATACACGAAAGAAAAAGTTAAAGGTCACATATTGTACACCTTTCTGGTGTTTTATTTTAGGTTTTGATGTCCTTAAGAATATATATTTGCGGTATAAGTTGAGGAAATGACAGCAGTTTTCATATTTTTAAGTTATTAGTCTTTCTGCAATCTTTCTCTCCCTGTAGGAAGTTGAATGAGTTTCAGCTACTGCCCATTAAAGGAATACACGAAAGAGTTTCCATGAATGCAGTTGGTTGCCTTGTGTTTTTTTTAAACATTATTTTAATTTTTTTTATTGGGTTAAATTCCGTATTTGCTGGCCTTTTTTAACATTAACTTATATTGTCTTCTTACATAAATGTCATAAAATAATACTGGGATATGTATAATTAATCTTTTTAAATTCAACATTTAAAACTTATAAACACTGAGTGTTTGATAATGTCTAAATATAAAATGCAAAACATAAAATAAGTAAATAAATAAGCTATTATGACCGGTAAAACTCTTTACAGCAACTAGAGCTAAATATATGTAGGCTATATTTATTAAGCAGCCATACGGTCATCTAGTGGTTAAACCATGGCATTACATAGGAATATTATTTTTTCTGGCCACCAAACTTCTCTAATTTGCCTCTTTGCACTGGAATTGAAAAACATTTCCTCTATTTTAACCCTAAATACTACACTAATTGTAATATCAATAATAAGCATATTAGAAAAAATATTAATGCTGTCTCTTCATCACTCCCCAGAATAAAATGCGATAGTAAAACAGTCAGCGTAGTTATCAATACACAATAAATGCACATGATGTGTTAATAATCAATAGAAATAGTTGAAAATATAGTGAAACTGCTGTCTATCCTACTTAAACCCATTCAAACATATTGACAGCGCCAACCACAGGTAACTAGCGTCAGCGACGTCACAGCGCTAGCTGGAGGCGGCCCATTCAAACCAGCGCAGGTTCGGCTACATGAGGAGCTTAAAATATCATCTTGTTGTGATGTTGGGTGCCAGAATCGACGTAATACAGCCTCAACTTAGAAATTTGATTGCATATCTGCTGCCACTGCCAGACAAAAAACCGGCTACAGCTGTGGTTAAACACGATAAAACGAGCAGACTGAACAGAAACGATCGTCAAAAATGCTCGCGTTTGCAACGCACACTTCTTATCAGAAAAGGTTGAATAAAGTATTGTTTTTCATTGTTATGGGCGTGTCTACAGATTTCTTGCCATATGTCTAAGTTTCTTGCATCTCACGACTACGTCGTGTGTGAAATAATGTCTGTGTGCATGTGTATAAAACAACAAACTGATGATTTATATAATGATAATTTGTAATTGTATATACGTTGTTGCGATTAATTGTGGCTGGAACAATAATGTAGCTGTAAAAATAGTTGCCTGCTGAAATTGAAATGTAAATACATGTTCATCATGACTAGATAGACACGGTGAGTTTGTCTTCACTATACACGCTAGACGTGATCACCTCATAGTAACAGTCCTGTCAGATCGTCCATCCTTTGAGTGAGAGTGTAACGTTACAGGTCGGCCGATCTGGTTTCGTGGTTAAAGTTAACCTTTTCGACATGTTTCAGTGTTGTTGTTGTTGCTCAGCAATGGCATGGATGCATGTTGTCTGGGGGTGTGGCTAAAGGAGAGTGGGACGGTGACTGTGTAGTTCTGACGTCAACTTTTTACGGAAGTCACAAGGGTTTGTGAAAAATCACAGCTACTTTATGCAGGCTGTGTGCATTTTACTGTGGACTGACTGTTTTGAAACTTATATGGTAGTTAAATAGCCCCTAGACCTCAGTTATCATGAAAAAAGCCAGGAAATGTCAGTTTTGACAATATGGGACCTTTAATGTTTTACAGTTTGGGGAGCTGTTAATGTCTTGATATGATGAGCATGGTCATATGGTCAGAGTGTTAAACCTCTTATCAGTTTAGAAACACACAGCAGTGACTGAAGAACGCATGAGAGCAGTAGGGCGGAGACTGCATACTAGCACGAGTCATGTAACTGTGTAAAGGGTCACCCGGTTACACGTGAGCATGGGAGATACTGAAGGAAATTCAACAGGGAACAACATCATCCTGATGAACTGAACTGGAAAATGGCGACATGTGAGGGAAGTGAAGCGCGTGCGGCGCTCAGGCGCTCCGTGCTCAACCGGGTTCCTCCGTTGCTCACGGATCTGTACCAGTTCACCATGGCGTACGCGTACTGGCGCGCGGGCAGACACAACGAGCCGGCCGTGTTCGAGCTGTTTTTCCGCGATAACCCGTTCGGCGGAGGCTTTTCGCTCATTGCGGGTCTCAGCGACTGTTTGCTGTTCCTGCAGAACTTCGCTTTCTCAGATGACGGTGAGCGTGTGTGTACTGCACTGCATACTTGTGAAATAACTTTAGTACGGATCTCAAATCCTAGCATGCTGCACAAGCACGCAGCACTTTTGGGCATGTGTCTAAAAACTTAGTGAGGCCCCATATAGCATTTGTTTTGGGCATATGCTTTAAAACCTAGTATGCTGCCTAACTAGACGGCATTTGGTGTCTTAAAACTAAGGGAACTAACTAAACAGCTTTTTTCTGTCTAATTGTCTATTATCTATTTGTCTAATGCAGCTCAATACTTAGAATGCTGCCTAGCTAGACACCATTTTTTGGGCCTGAAACCTAGTGCCCGACAGATCTTTTGGGCATGCATCTCAAAACCTAGTATAGACAGCTGTCTCAAAACCTTGTGATCTGATCAAGTAGACTTTTTGGGCATGCACCAATTAATCTAATCCAAGTGAGTTTATAGGGTTAACCCAAGCAGTTTTTCTTTCTTTCATCTCAAAACCTAGTATGCTGCCTAACTGGACAGCATAGTTTTGGTTTAAAACCTAGTGAGCTGACTACCTACACAGCATCCATCTTAAAACCTAGTATGATGTCTACATAGACTGATTTGGGCAACTGTTTTAAAACCTTTTAAACTGACTGCATTGACTGAACTTTTGGGCATGCATCACTAAACCCAGTACACTGCCTAACTAGACAGCATTTGGTAGGCATATGTCATAAAACTAAGTGAACACCCTACCAAAAGAGCTTTTTTAGTCATGCACCTCAAAACCTAGTATGCTGTAGACAGCATTTGTTAGGCATATGTCTTAAAACCTAAACAGCTTTTTCAGCATGCATCTCAAAACATAGCATGTTGACTAACTAGACAGCATGTGTTTTAAAACCACATAAGCTCCGCACTCAAATATCTTTTTTGGTCATGCATCTCAAAACCTAGTATGCTACCCACAAAAGGCTTGTAATCTGACCAAGTAGACTGAATTTTTTGGAAATGCATCACTAAACCTAATACACTGCCTATGTAGACAGCATATTTAGGTATGTCTGAAAACATTGTGATCTGAATGCGTATACTGAATTTTTGGGCACACATCACTAAATGTAGTACGCTCCAAGTGAGCACCTTACCCAAACAGCTTTTTTGGCCATGCATCTCAACACTTAGTATGCTCTCTACATAAGACTGCTTGTTTGGGGACTTTGTGATCTGATGGCAAAGACAGAATTTTTGGTCATGCATCATTAAACCTAGTATACTTCCTAACTAGACAGCATTTTAGAACGTGTCTCAAAAGCATGTGAGTTCACTATTCAAGACAGTATTTTTGGTTTTGCATCTCACAGAAGCTTAGAATTGGCATTTTGTAGCATATTTGAGCTCAGAACACTTCTGTGATGCCTGAAGACGTTACACCAAATACACAAAATAATGATCTTTAAAAAAGCATCATATGACCCCTTTAAAATCACCTGGCAACATGAACAGAGTAAAAATTAGCCTAGAAAAGTTCCATTTTTGCAAAAGGAGAAGTTTAATGTTCAAAACAAGGTTATTCATCCAGGTCAGAAAGTCAAATTAAATAGATTTTTTTCTTATTTTATATGAGGTCTGGAACCATGTTATTCTAGCAATAGAAATTAACAATTTTAAAACTGATCTATTTTACAACATTTTAAAATGATATAAAATTATATATATATAGATATATAAAAATAATCCTGTTACTCTGGCTTTATTTGTGGCCATATTTATGTTTTTTTTTTTTTTTTTTTACAAAAAAATTATATATATATATATATATATATATATATATTATTATTTTTTAATATATATATATATATATATTTAAAAAAATTATTTATTTATTTCAGTTTTGTTTTTAATTAATTTTATCAAGTGAAATGAAAATGAGAAATGTTGCCTTGGCAACTAGAAGAAATAAAACAAGTTGTAGATTAAAATTATATATATAGAATTTCTGTTAACATTTAATTTATTTCATGTTACAAAAATGTTTTTAATTGTTGTAGATTAATTGTTTTTAATAGTTTTGTCGATTAACTATTATAACCTTGACCAGAATAAGAATTTTTGTTATTATTATTATTTATTATTGGTATTATTTGTTATTACTTTTCTTATGATAACTTTGGTAACGAGGCTGAATTATTGAGCTTGATGATTCAACATCACACAATTCATGTAGAGAAAATGAGATGATTTATTTGTTTTTGGTCATCTCGTGGAAAGGGTCTGTTATCTACATTCATTTTAATGTAGTTTTTACTTATTTTAGAAAATAACAAACTATTTTACTACAATGAATATAAATGCTACAACAATACAAGCTCTTCTTGAGTTTATTTGCCTCTTTATGATGAATTGCCTGTTGTAGTCCTCATTTGTAAGTCGCTTTGGATAAAAGCATCTGCTAAATGAGTAAATGTAAATATGCTACATCAAAAATAGCAAATAGTTCTCGCTCTAAAAATGGGATTTGTGCTTGCTTGTTTTAAAAAATGTATAGGACTCTGACTGCGGGATTTATAGTTTTTGTTGCATCTGTATGCTCATGAAGTCTCTCTCCTCTCAGTCTGGTGTGTAGCAACGCTGCTCGTTTCCGTTTGGCTGCAGGTCCCAGACGCAGATTAATGGAGATGGGGCTCAGAAGAGCTCAGGGTCCCGACGGAGGCCTGACCGCCTCACGATACACATACATTGGTGGTGAGTGACCCGACATTTACAACAATATCTAGAGGTGAATCTGGAACGACGAGTCCACTGAAGTCCTGCTGAATGACTGCAGAAGACTCGTGCTGTCATGTGTGACCCTGGAGCACAAAACCAGTCATAAGGGTCAATTTTTCGAAATTGAGATTTCGACATCATCTGAAAGCTGAATAAATAATATTTCCATTGATGTATGGTTTGTTAGGATAGGACAATATTTGGCCGAGATACAACTATTTGAAAATCTGGAATCTGAGGGTGCAAAAAAATCTAAATATTGAGAAAATCATCTTTAAAGTTGTCCAAATTAAGATTATTACTAATCAAAAATGAAGTTTTGATATATTTACAGTAATAAATTTACAAATGATCTTCATGGAACATGATCTTGACTTAATATCCTAATGATTTTTGGCATAAAATATATAAAATAATAATTGTGACCCATACAATGTATTGTTGGCTATTGCTACAAATATCCCCCAGCGATTTATGACTGCTTTTGTGCTCCAGGCTCACATATGAACTGAAGTGCTACTGCTGATTGTTTTTCCAGGTTTTGATTTGACGAGTAACGCTCTCGCCGGCCGTCTGTTTGGCATTCCTGTGGCGGGAACCATGGCGCACTCTTATGTCACTTCCTTTTCCTCTCTGGAGGAGGTGTGGCCACAGGTGGGTGTGCAGATTTGTCATATTTGTTTATATATAAACTACCGTTCTAATGTTTGGGGTCGGTAATTATTATTATTTTTTTAATGACTTTCAAATAAGTCCCTAACACGCATATAAATCTGAATTCTTCCAAAAATCTAATATCTAAAAAAAATATCCAGTTAAAAAAATTATTCCAAACTTTTGACCAGTAGTCAAAAATAATTCACATTTTTATATATATGTATTAGATACTTATTTTAAAAAAAAATTTTATGTATGCAATATTTTCATATATATATATACATTTTTATATATACTGTATGTATTAGATTTTTATTTCAAAAACATATATATATTGCAATATTTCATATGTGAATATATATGAAAAATATCAGTATTTTAATACAATATAGACAATTTTTCTAGACAATATAGAAAAATTTGATTTGAGGTAAATTGAAGAGAGTTATAAAAACAAAGTC